CGTCTCTGTTGTAAAACCGGCTATTGATTAAAATCACAGCTTGTTTCTAACGTAATTTGTAGCTAGGATCACGACCTCACAAGCGGGATTAAAATCCGAACTGTTTTTTCAGTTGCACAATCTGGCCAAGAGGTTTATTCTTGAAGCAGATACTCGGTGAAGACGATGCATGAGTACCTGTGAATTTGAAGATTTGGTTTCTGTTTGGGATATCTAGGATGCAAAGCTCTTCTCTTGCTAGCGTGCGAGAAGGCTCTCATTTTTAGTGCAGCAGGACGCGCGTTCCCACGGCCATCCACGGGGAGATTTGAGACAAGTTGGGGAGAGTTTTGTTACCAGACCCGTCTCATTCCTATGACTGACTCGTGTTGCTCAAGGTCTAAAACCTCCTCACGGGCCAAGAAAAGCTTGGGCCATGAGAGCCTGCATCATATTATACCTTTCCAACCACGCTGACATCCCACAAAATTCCTTGCTGACTGCAACCCTCAATAAACCACTGTTCTTTCTGCAAAAATTTATTGAGAGCAAAGTGGATTTCAAAATTGGGCAGATTACAGCAGTTGATAAATCATAACAATGTTTCATAAAATCTACAACAAGAAAGTAAAGGAAAAATAAAGAGGAAGAGCCAAAGGGAACAGAGCTTTCTGTCTGTTTTTTTTATATTTCTCCTTAACTGTCCTACCTGTAATCCATAACTCCACCCATGAAAATGTCCCTACCCCTTCCAGCTTGAAGAAAGACTTACATCCTTACTAAAATTCCAACCTTGGAATTGATGAAGTAACTCTATTATGGTGGTTCTAATCAGCTTGGATTTTTGCGCGCCAAAACCGAACCTCTCTGTCATGATCAGTGCGCAAGAACAAGTTCCTCCTATCTTGGATTTTCAATAAGCCAAGGGTGTGGAATACTTAATGACATTACATCTTCATGCCTTTGCAACACATACCGCCCTTAAAAGAAAATAGGTTGTGCAAAGACTGTCCTGCTGTTTCACGCAATGTTCAGAAATTACGTGTAGGTATTCTACGCGCAGACGTCATCAGAATACAATATCTTCCTAAACAGTTAAACGAACAGCAGACCTTTTTTGAATAGTATGTTGTTACCAAGTGGCCCAGAAGAATTCAACACCTTGGAGTGGACACGAGATTAGCAAATTCACTAGCTCAACGGATCTTAATTTTCTAACTAACAGATCTTAGATAGACAAATATTGTTATTATCCTTGGCTGCAAACGGTCAATACTCTCAGCCAAAGTCAGAAAAATATCGAATGACCAGCTGATAAATTGTTCAGCAACCCAGTCACTCGTATAGTAATCTATCCCGTTAACAAACAGTCAGAGAGTCAGACAGACTGACAATCAATCAGTTCACCAGTAGGTAATTTAGCAAATCAGTTGGTTTCTCAGTGACAGTCAATCAATCACAAATTCAGTCAGTAAACCATCTGGCCTTAAGGTCAGGCAGTCACTGAATCAGTCAGTCACTGAATCAGTCAGCAAGTTAGTCCACCAGTTGATAATTTGTCAAAAGGTCAGTTGCTTAGTCAGTCAATTAATCACAAACTTCATCAGTCAACCATCTGGCCATAAGGTCAGTTAAACAATCACTGAGTCAGACAATCACTCTTTCAGTCAGCCAGTTACTCCACTTGTTGGTCCATTTGCCAGACAGTCAGTCATTCAGCTATCCAATCAGTGTGTCTATCACTCACTCACTCAGCTACAGTATAGTCAATCATGTAATCACCCAGTCAGGCCACTAGTTCTGCAATTAGTCAGTTATTCACACAGTCTATCAGCTGGTCAACTTAACTGTCAATCCATACATCAGTCAGTTAGTCACTAGCTATTCAGGCAGTTATTCTATCAGTCAGTCAGTCAAACTGTAAGTCAGCCTGCCAGTCACTTATTTAACTTGTGAAAGTCAGTTCAACAGTCCTACTGACTGACTGACTGACTAAATGGCTGACAGACTGGCCTGTTGACTGATTGAGAGACTGCATGTGTGATGGAAAAATAACTTCAGTTTCACTAACTTGATCAGTCAGTAACTTAAGCCATAGCTTACATACACATAATGTATTTCATCATTGGTCAGCTCCTGATTTAGTTCGCTAGTGATCTGCACATCAGTCACACAGTCAGGTGGGTCACTTAGTCTGACAGTCAGTCACTCACCACCATGTCAGTTGGCTACCCAGTTTACTATTCTGTCAATTGGTGAAATTCTTTTTCCATCACACATTCAGTCCCTCAATCAGTCAACAGGTCCGTCTGTCAGTCATTTAGTCCCTCAGTCAATCAGTCAGCAAGTTAGTTACACATCCAGTCACTCAGCTGACTAGTCAGATAGTAAGCATCTTAGGCAGTGAGTGCATCAGTCAATCAGTCAGTCTACCAGGAATTCAAGAAACCTAGTTAACCAGTCAATGAGCTTCCAAACCTTAAAAATCTGGAGCTTGGGCCAACATTTACAAGCAATCATATGTAATTAATAAACTGCAGCATTTGAAAATTTTAGAAATCTTAAAATTTCAAAAGATTTCTCTTACAGCAAATCTACATTTTGTTCATCCCTGAACCTACACATAGCTGGATCAACATTTTCCCCCTAAATTTATCACTAACTCTGACAAGTATTTTATAACAGTTTTCATACCTGAATTATTTTGTACTATCTTCCAATACCTGTGAGAATGAATTTCATTTCCTTTGTACAATGTATTCTATATTCCACCAACAGAAGAAGGAAAGAGAAATTTTATTTTGTTTAAATAACTGCCAATGCCATTGAGGATGAAGAGTCACATTATCTATCATATCACCCAGATGGCTCCATGTGCATGTTCACTAGAAAACATTATAAGAAATCCCTGCATATGGGATGTACATAATTGCACAAGTCCATTAATGAGTCAGTCCACCAGATGTCAATAGGTCAGTCAATCTGTCACTTACTCAGGCTGTCACTCAATTTGCCAGACAGTCAGTTGGACATTCAGCGATTCACTCATTTCATCAGTCATTTGATTTTTGGCAGTCAGTTGGTGAGTCTAACGGTCCATTTCAAAGTTTGTCAGGCAGTAATTGACTCAGCCACATAATTCACTTTTCATTCTATTGGTCATTCATTCAATTAGTCAGTTGGTTGGGCAGTCAGTATATTAGACAGTTAGGTAGGTAGTCTACGATCACAAGGTCATGCACAAAGTCACATAGTCAGTTAGTTGATCAGCTAGTCGTGTAAAAGCATTTCAGTAACTCAGTCAATTCATTGGTCTGAGTCCATCAAGCAGTCAAACATAGGTAACCAGTCAGTGTGAGCTAGCCACTTGGGAGAATTCTCAGAGGTTTGCATAATTTTCTGAATTATCTCTACTCCCCGAGTGCACAGATGAGGCTATGTGAACATGGAAAAGTCCTTAATAGCTTGTTAAATAATTTGCAGAGTTGTTTGGATAAAAACAAGAATTCAGAAACAAGGCACTTCAAGAAGACGAAATAATGATTTCAACAGGTTAAAAGGTTACTCTTTCAATAATTCTAGAAGAGCAGACATATTAAAAGTATAAAGCTGTCTTCATAACAAGAAGTTTCAGAGTTTTCCCTTACCTTTGGTATCAATGCTGTCTGTACACTGACTGCTGAGACATGAATAATTTGAAACGTGGTCTGGTTTTTGTGATGATTTTCGTCCATTGTAGCATTCAAATATCAAAAGAGGAGGGTCAGCATCATATAAAATAATAATGAGATCCCCGTTTCCGTCCTGAGGTTGGTAACAAGCCAAACGAGAAAACTCTATCAAACCACACACTTCATCCGCCATCTTGGGATAGTTTTCGTTCCCAATTTCTCCCCGGTCAACACGCGAATTTTTGTTACGCGCGATGAAAACGCGGAAACTTTGCAGAAACACGCGGTCAACTCAGTGTTAGATTTCTCGCCACCCGCAAACCTTCCTATTTCATGCGTCAAAGTAATTCTTCAGCGATCCAGCTGGAAATGGCGACCTTTGGTGCCAATCGTGGTAAGAGGGGGAGGGACACGTGCAGGAAGACATTTTAATCAAGCGGAAAAAAAGACGTTGGTTTGGTTCAAGCAGTCATTTAAGGGTCAATTCGTGGGATACGCGATGGCCCACTAATTGGCGGACTTCTGGTCTGCAGGTTCGGAGTCGAGCCCTAGCCATTTCATTGTGTGTGTTCTTGGACAAGACAACCTTCCTCTAACAGTGCCTCTAACCACCCACCCAAGAGTATGAATGGGTACCGTTTGTCCGTCAGGGAAACAAAATGCTGGCGTAGAGGGGGGGGGGGAAAATTGGAATGGGGTAGCCTTCGGTGGACTATTATCCTATCCAGGGAGAGTAGCAATACCTCCATTAGCTTCACGCAACGGAACTTACAATTCATGCTCTGGCTGTGTGGGTGTCTAAGCACGAACTGATCTCATTTATTCACAAGCAGCCCAAGCTCCAGCTGTGAGATGGTTGTCTTCGGTAATAGAGTCGTAAACCTGTCTGTGACTTATTCAACCAAATAAAGAAACAGAGGGAAAAAGTTCCAACGGGAAACGATATAGCTCTATCGAGAAATACTTTCGCTGCAATCAACTGAGCACAAAATAATACTAATACTAATAATAGCAGTAATAATATCACCAATAATAAGCTGTATCAATTTTAAAATCATTTTAATTACCGTTTTCCCCATTTTCTAGTACAAAATATTTGTGAAAACCTCACACAATTACAAACCTACATAAAATCGTCATGCAGTTATTACGTATTTGTGGCCAACAACTAAAAATCCCAAAGAATTTTAAATCTATCCGATACAAAAGTGTGAATTTTAGCACACCAGTTATGAAAGTAACAGATAACTACAACTATCTTACAAATTGGTATTAAGTCTATAAAAATACGTCTAACAAACTCCAACAACATTAAAAATTCCTTAAAAAGCGCCATCAGCTTCTTAAAAAATTGCATACAAATATTTGCTACGCTGAATTGACAGCAGATATCCCTTTGATGCAATTCGCATCTTTGTTCGAGATGTAAGGACCCACACCTTTACAAATATATATAACCAATGGTACGATGAAAATTAAACAAAGAATGTATGTATCATATATATTTATCATATAAATAGAACTAATTGACTCCAAAACTTTTGAAATTGAGAACATTTCTCCCAGATCTGGAAGCGAAAAAGTTGAAATTAAACTTAAAAACGTAACATACGAAGGAGTTTCGATTCCGACTACATGTGTCTAGCCATGCTGTGAACGGCTCTTACGCGAATTTACTGGATTGGACAAACTGATTTCTTTTTGCGCAGGTCTGGACGGCTCCTGGCTCGGGAGAGCTCTTTCATCGATGACGCCTAAAAAATAACGTAGAACACGGTACAAGAGTGTCTAGTTAGTAGTGCATCGAATAAGAAACGAACCTCAGAAAACTTTAGGCTGTCCGAGGGGGAAAAGATAAGGAAGCTGACTCGCAGTAAAGAAATGCGATATAGTAAAAATTTCCGAGTATTTATCAGCGACAAATACTCAGAAAAACTTATAAAACTAAGAACCACTCAGGATAGAGCCATGTATACCGAAAATAATTATGGTAGCCCCATCTGTTTATTGCATTTTTCCCATGTCCCTCGCGTGGCACTATCGACTGTGCCATGTTTGAATCTGAATCACTCGTCTCTCTTCTATTTTATGTCAAAGTGTAAGGTATTCAAGGCACTGTCAAACGTGGCAGATGTTCGTGTGCCATGTCCTTAAATTTCGTTACTACTGGAGACTTCAATATGTTTGCTGCCCTCAAGGGATGGGAGCCGTAACACAACAAGCAAGTTTTCACCGCTTGTCTTGCATCGACATCCACTGGTGTACATGCATGAAACATCTCGGTGGAAGTTTTAACGAAGAGCGACGCTGGAAGGCGCGATAGAGACAAGACTAAGTGATACAATAACTTATACCCTATTAACACCAAAACTTAAACATATTTGTTTATGTTCGTGTTTCGGTTTAATTTTTTTTTCTTCATAGAAGCTGCTTAAACCATTGTTTGTCAACTTCAGATATAACCTATTGAAAATACAAGTCAGCAATTACTTGAATCCTATGAAAAATTCAGTTTTTCAGTTCTGTTCCTGATTTTCGTTCAGTTAAACACGGTTTACCTAAACATGCTTTGGTGGCTTAGACTGACCTTGGACAAGTTTGGTAAAGATGCTGCGGAACGGATCTTCTGCTTTCGTATCAGACTGTCCATTTCTCTACGGGTTCTCTGCAACGCCATTGAAAGGAACCATATCAGTCCCAAGAACATTATTAGATTTTACCTAAGTTATGAAAAATTCCGTCAACAGTGCAACAGACTTACTTTATCGCCAGTAGTCTGCAACAAAGTTACAATATCGTCATGACGGTACCAATAGGCAAGTTCAATCGCAGATTCTCCTTCCTGGACAAGTCAAACCAGTAACCAAAAGAGAATGAGTTATTTACCTGAATAGATACTTAAAACTATTCTCGAGCTAAGTTTAAAAACCGCAAACTTTTACCTTCGTAAGAAGCGAAACATTCGCACCAAAGAGCAGGAGAACCTCTACTATTCTTCTTTTTCCTCTCATGGCGGCATAATGAAGAGGGGTTCTTTTTTCCTGAGGAAAGTACAAAGCGAGTCACCAAAGAGAATACGGAAAGATGTTGAACACTTGTTCTATGTGTGGGACGGAAAAAAAGTGTAATTCCTCTCCACTGGATGCAAACCCAAGATTTCATTGTTCTATACCTAACTTCTTTTGTACCGTTGGCAGGGATGGAAGTACGTGTACCTTACGAGTTGGACAGGGGTTCGGATGCCGTAGGAAAGAAATCAATTTCAACTCCGAATTTCCGTCGGGATTATGTCTACGACCTTTCGAGCCCTTTATACGACTCTCGCATTCAAGTCATATCTTGTAGCGCAACACTGTTAGAAAAGAGCAGTGAAGGGTAGAGTCCAGCTGTACACAAAAATGAGGGAAGTTTCATGCCGGGGAAATCCTCAGTGCCGCAAACGGTTTCCACTCGATATAACTGTCCCTTTAGTCAAGGTGATAGACACAAAGGTTGTCGTCAAAGTCCACGTCCAAATAATTCTTGAATAAAGGTTCCCCAAGAGAAAATCTCCACCGTTGCAATACAAAAAGCCCCAGAACGTAGGCTTGTTCGTTGAAAGTCTGCTAAAGTGCACAGGTATGCAACAAGGAAAGGAGGAATTCAAAGCAACAGAAACGTGTAAAAAAGGGATATTTTGCCGTGCGTAATTTGAAATAAATCACGCACCTCATCAGCCAGATTGACGTTAGCTCCACCAGGGATGAGACGATGAACAATAGCATGTTGACCACTGATGGCAGCCTCGTGCAGAGCAGTCTTGCCAAACTATGAAGAAACGGGAATGGTGTTGCCTTTTGAAAACCACTTTCTTCCTATTCATTTTAACTTTGCCATTAAAGAATAAATAGATACACAATCAAACAAACCAAACCAAAAACAAAGACAAAAAGAAAAAAACTCCTCGATCGAGCGCATTTTTCCACAATCCTCGCAGACACTTACCCTGGCGCCCTGTTAGGTTCGTTGATCTTACATGTAAATACAATTTGTAAGAACAGACAACCGATTGCTCTACGTTACAAAACAGTGCGATGAGACACACTGACTCGAAGAATAACAAATTGAAAGCAGAACAATAAGGAAGGTGGGAACTTATTGAAGTAGGACATCGGTGCAAGACTCTTAGCCTGTGGTGCAAGGGCAGTTTTGGCGAAAATGCGCAGACTATTTCCTCAAAAGTTTGGCCGCCGTCTTTGATTTTAAAAGCGGAGGAGGGTGAGGTAAATAAGGGCATACGTAATCGGGAGTGGAGGCAGGTAAACATTTATTGCAAATCTTGTTACTTTTCACAACGTCAAGACAATAATAAACTTAACAAACTAACCACAAGTTAACATTCTCTAATAATACTCTTGTTGATCACTGAATTACTTCAAAAAATATTTAAAATTTTGCAGAAAAACCATTGGGCAGGGCCCTATGGTATGTATTTATCTGAGAAGAAAAAATTTTCAAGTTCAGAACTTGCGACGTAGAAACTTACCCCGTCCTGTAAATTAGGATCAGCGTCATCACTAAGCAAGGCCTCTACAATTCCAAGATGCCCTTCCCAGCTGGCAACCATCATTGCAGACTGACCAAACTTCAAACAGAGAAAGATTGTTAACAGTTAAGTTTCATGGTAAGAATCCTTAAGCAGCCTTGCGTTTAGCCACTATGAAACAAAGGTCTCGCCTTATTCAAGAACGACTACATCTATAATTTGGCAGAAGAAATAACATGTTAGTTAAATGAAGAGATAACTCAATCATTGATAGTTATTATTGAAAACATTACATATAATTGAAACTGATGACATCAACTTATTTTCCTGCCCCTAATTTAGCGAATGTGTGTACTGTGAAGGTTTGATTAGTATCTCTTAATTTACCCTCATTTGTAAATTTATGTGTAGACGGACAACAGCTTTCTAATATTTTCTGCAGATAACTGTTCTGCAGTAAACTTGTGCCTCTCAGTTTCGAGGGTATTGGGAAAAGTGACTACTAGCGCATTCGTCAAAAAAAATTCGCGCCAAGGCTTTCAAACGATCGGGATGCAAAACTGCAACTTTGAGTTTAACTTTTTCCTCTGTTCTGAATAGTCATGGTCGTGTTACACACGGAAGAAAAGCGTTTTATTAACTGAACTCATTAAAGCAAAAAAGTAATAAACACAAGCTATGAAGCTACATGGACATAAACTGCACCTCATTTTGATAATTCACATCAACTCCTTCATCAATGGTTCTCTTCACCTCATCCTCATCCCCCGCTTTAGCAGCAACCATGAGATCTTTACAAAGTTCTATCTACAATAAAAAACAAATCCCAGCAGGTAACCAACTCCTGGCCTTAAAAAGTCATAAGAACCTGTGTATCACTATAGCCTTTGTTAATTTTATAGAAATTTTGCAGGAGAGGGGTAGGGGTAGGGGGTAGGGGGTAGGGGGTAAATAGTATCAATGCAACTTTACCTTTAACCCTTTAACTCCCATGAGTGACCAAGACAGAATTTCTCCTTACAGTAACAATAGAACATCAGCCAGATAAGTGATGAGAATGAAGAAAAAATTAATATTAATTTGGGGATAATTAACTGATCCAATACTAAATTCTTTGAACCAACACTATAAGAAGTGTATGGTTGACAGTAAGGAGAATGAAAAATTTGATCTGGGAGTTAAAGGGTAAAAGCAAAAAATGAAATTTTGATATTAACCTGTTTTTCTATTTCTTTGTCCTCAGCCCCTTTTATACTCATCTGTAATTCTTCTCTGCTGAGAAACATTTCTTTCTGCAAATAAAACCACATTAAATTAATAACTAGTATGCTTCAGCAAAAACATGCATTATCCATGATTGATAGAATTCAGCTCTTACTGGAAAAACACACTCACCTCTTTGTATATTGAACTTACACTTGCAGCTGACAGGAGAGGACTCTTATGAACACGATCTGAACTATATGTGTCTAAAAAACAAATGAGACATTTTTAAGGTTATAACTAAACAAAACTTTAAGGTTATAACTAAACAAAACTTTGAGATTTCATTCCACTATGTATAAGTATTACTGACATTAGTCTCCACATCTCTTAGAATTGTCTCCTGAAGCATTGAATGTACATTGTACAATACAGATACACATGTACTTTGTTTCTATGCACAACATAATAAATTGAACTGTTAACTCTTTCACTCCCAGATAAAATTTGTAATTCTCTTTACTGTCAACCATACAATTCTAACAATGTCCTAGTTCAGAGAATTTAGTATTGGATCAACAAATTATTCCCAAATTGATATTTATCTTTATTCTCATCACTTATCTGGTTAATATTGTATTGATATTGTAAGGAGAAATTCTGTCTTGGTCAGTCATGGGAGTTAAAGGGTTAACTGTTCAACTTGTAACCATACATGTACCTTTAAACAAAGTAATAAAAAATAAAATCATACTGCAACATGCAGATTATATACATTGTGTAATGGAATCAATGTCAGTATCTGAGCAAATGTATACCCACCCCTCCCCTAACCCAGAATTAACCCTAGCTCATTGTCAGTTGACTGTTATTGGGTTAGGTTAGGGGAGGGGTAGGTATGTAGTTGCCCAGATACCGACATCAATCCATGTTACAGTAAGTGTCAGGGTTACAAATTGATCACAGCAAAACAGTACAAGAATGATACAGGTATATATTGTATCATCAGAGTCATCTTTTGCAAACCACAATCTACCATACTGTATATCTATATTAAAACATAATGGATGAAATTACCTATGCTGGTAGAATCATCATTTGATTTTCCATCCAACTTTCTTAAAGTCTTTTTGTATTCTGGTGGAGGAACATATGGAGGGGGCACCACTGCAAATCTTCCACTAGCGTCATCTCTGTATTCATGATCAGTAAAGACACTGTCATCATAATCTGACAACACTTCACTCTCTGCCTTCAGGGTTGAAAACTGTTGTGATTGTCCATTTGAGTTTTTAGGACTATAATCATTACATTGATTATATTCTTGGGGGCTATGATCTGTAGGCCTGTAGAAACCAGCACTGGTCATGCCAGTTGTTTTGGGAAACTCCCTTAAATTGTTTGAGCCTCTCAGTGAGTCTTCCCCGTCATGATGGACCGTGACTATGGATAGCTTTTGCCTTGGTTGATCAACAAGTGCAGTTTTCACCATCACCAGCTTGCCACTTACAGGGGTGGCATCCCTGAAACTTTCTGGAGGGGAGTATATTGGAGTGTGAGCTCTTCCATTTGTTGTCCTTGCAGAGTAAATTCTTGGAGTCACAGCCGCTTGCTGGGGTTTCATATTATCAAGATAGTAATCTTCAACAGGATGAAACTGCTGTGTGTCTTCAGGTTCTGGTTCAGGTACCATTTCTCTGTATAAGGAGTCCTCCAAAGCTGTATCCTCATACCAAGAGGAACCAGGCTCTGGTTGCCTTGGAATCCTCAGATTATCCTTTGTCATCACTCTCTTATCATCAAAATCTGATTGGCTCATATTTAAGGATGGCAGGGCTTCTGTTTTATAAATTTCACCATTCAGAGAACTCATATGTTTCTGATGAGAATTGGCATTTCTATTCCTCCTACTGATTTGGAATGTTGCTGTTGAAGCGAATGTTCTGGTGTTTTCTGATTTGGAAGTTGTTATTTCTGATGGAATCAACTTTGATTTTGTTGATATGGGGCCATTTTCCATAACTGCTGTTCCAATGTGTGATTTTTTGGGTGGACTTTGAGAGTACCAGCCTCTCTCCCCATCAACACAACTGTCTTCAAATGAAAAGTCTAAAACAGATGTTCTCTTTTTATTGCTCTCAACTCTTTCATTGTCTGACCACTTCTGGCCAGTTTTATTTTCCAAGGAAGTGTTATGTGACCAACCTCTGTGACTGTCACCAGTGGTGTTGCCTTGACTTGTGTGGTAAAGCTCATCAGGAATGTTCCAGGACTGCAGCTCTTTGCTCTGCTTGACCTCTGGTACAATCAAACTTTCAATTGCTGGAACCCATTCTCTATCTTCTTGCAACTGATGCTGACCCCTGTAACCTGGAGATGACTTTGGGGGCATCGATTCTGTCATTTCTGAGGTTTCTTTTACAATAATCTGATCCTGTTCTTTACCAGATACAGCTTTGCTTCTCACTGGTGAATCTTCCACATCCATGGCAGCCTGGACATTGTGGTCAATATACATTATCTTTGGCCGCACTACCCTGATGGGCAAGTCTGTTTTGTCTTCAGGAGAGGCAGTATCAATGTAACCCATGTTTGTTTGTACAACTTTTGCATTTCCTCTTTCTGGTGACACAACTGATTGTGAAAAATCTTGGTTACTCAAATTACTCTGATTTTGTTCCTGTCTACCATTATAACATCCATTCTTTGTTTCACATGTAGCTTTAGAGTGATGCAAAACCTCCCGACCTTCACCATTTTGAACAAAGTCACTTTGCAAAGACTCATTCATGGATGTAAAGCTGGTAAGGGAAAGGTCATCACCAAAACCATTTCTCTTCGTCTTCCTTCCAAAGTAAATCCCAATTATACTTAATTGCTGCATAGTGAGACAGACATCATTTCTTCCAAGAGAGGAACGGACATGTTTACGTGCACACTCAGGCACTAACATGTAAACCAGAAGGTCTGATGCACCAAAGGAAACTCCCATGTATATAACTGTTTCCCAATCAGGGTCACCTTGGGCAATCTCAGGGATATGGAAAAGTCTTCTGATCTTCTGCAATATTGTCTTCTTGTTCTCAGAGAACCATGAAAAATGGTTTCTGATCCTTATCCATAATGGAAAGTAGCCACACTCTGGAAAAAAAATATAAGAGAAAAAAGAGCAGAAAATAATAATTAATTCCTAATAATTTTTTAAATATCACTTTCAGTGATTCTTACAATAATTACAATAATAGTAACAATAATATTTATCCTCCTCAAAATATGCAAATTATATTCATAACCATTACAAGAATATTCAAACTTAGAATATACCAGCAAAACATTAATACTATTAGCATTTAACATTAACAACAGCATCTAAATTTTAAAAAATTATCCCGAATTTTTGAACTACAACTTTCTTTCTTCTTGAACTTTTCAAAGGTGTTTTCTCCATTGCAAGCAAAGAACTTAGGCTGAAGATTTAATTTATACCAGCAAAACATTAATATTATTAGCATTTAACATTAACAACAGTATCTAAATTTAAAAAAAATTATCCCGCATTTTGGAACTAAAATTTCCTTTCTTCCTGAATTTTTAAAAGGTGTTTTCCCTACTGCAAGCAAAGAACTTAGGCTGAAGAATTTAATTTCAAGAACTCCATCGTTAGGGAATTTAATTTATTTATATACTGTCATCACTAGGAGCATTAGGTGTACGTGGAAAATGCAAATAATGTAAACATCTTCACACATTCTCGTGTTTATTTACGCCGGTCTTAATGGTTTTCTCAATGATCGTAGTATTTGAATAATTTGTCATGTCATCCTCAAGGAATCCAAGAAAAAATTCTACAAGAGAGAAGCAATGACTCTAAGCTTTTTAAATTAAGTACACAGTAAGAACAAGATAAAACCATTTACATAATGCTAGACGAATATCCTGATAACGCGTGGGTCAAACTATAAACAAAAGATGAAAAACGGACGATGACGTACCTTGAAAAACTCGTGGATGCACCGGGTTGCTGCGACTTTCCCACTCACTGACTACTTGGAGGAGATCGTGACAATTTATCTTCTTCAAGAGGCGCTGCACAACTCGCAAATTATCTTTTCCGTAATACAGATTAAGAACCGCGATTAGAGCTTCGCCGTCCGTGACAGTTCTCAACGTGTCACTTCGAATAGCATTGCGGAGAAGTAAGACGATGTGATCTACTTCGTCCAATCTTAAGTTTCGGGCCACAAAATCTTTAATTTCTTGAAGAGGTTGGAAAACTAATCCTGAAAGTCGCTGCCTGTCATACTGAAGCTCTTTGATATTGATTCTTAGGTCCTCCGTAGCCATATCAACGCTATGAAAACTTGGAGCAAGCTATGAGGTTGAGCCCACTCCGAGAGCTGAGCCACTTTCAGTTGTAGCTTCTAAACAGATCTCACATAGTTTGATCCATTAAAAGAACACCAAATCTGTAGCTTAACAGATTCGTAATTTCCTTCGTGGGAACTCAACCTACAACATACCAAAAGTTATGTCCTCCAAGGGCCCTAAAATCTTCCAGATAGCGATGCGCTTAGCCAGTTAACCCCGTTTAGCTTTGGATTAAGTAGTCTTTTTTTACCACTGGAATTCACGCCGTTCTTGAGGCTTGCCACAGCCGCCAATGTATCAACCAGATGGTATTGATAACTCACTGTCTATATTGATAACGCACTGTCTGATTGGTTTTTAAAAACTTTCCTTTGATCGATGTCAACAGAAGGTTTCCGTTCGCGCAAAACGGTTTCCTGGGTCATGCAATCCTGATGATTTGCCGACTGGTCTTTGTTGCTGTGCGGCGACGCGTAACCAGCGGAATAATCGGTAGAATAATTGAATAAATTTTCAAAGCGTGAAAAGCACAATTAGCCAAACAAATAAGATCTGGTAACTAAAACAACAAAACAGCCAGTGAGAATTCGCGATAAAGAGCTTTCCTGACCTCGCTTTCCTCTTGAAGTTGACACGGTTTGACACTGTTGAAAGGCAAGACAATCCAACAGGAAGCCAGCCAAATCCCACCAAAAGCGTATTTCTTCAGATTAAATAGCCAGCCTTCTTTCGCAGATTTAAGAAAACAGAATTAGAATTTCTTCGTGGCGATTAAATCGCACAAAAGCACTGAAAAATAAAGGAAAGTTATTCGTATTTCTTGCCTCATGATTCGCCTCATGTGACAAAATATTTAAAGCGCCTAACGGTGGAGAGACATTGGACACTAGACCTTAGTCCCCACTATATCGCTCTGGTGCTCTCTATTAACGCCTGGCAGATTCTGCATAACAGCGTCAGAAATGCAACTGCGTGAGATCAGAATAGAGTAGTTTTCGTTATTTTACCTTGAAAACGTCGCATGTGGATATCTTAACTCTACAGTGTACCTTTGAACACGACAGATATGGCTGCTAAGAACAATTTTTGGGTTCTGATCAGTGATACGTAGCTGATCTCAGTGTAGTGTTTTGGCAAGCCTTCTCTGAGCACATAAGTTTTTTGTTGATGCCCAAAGTGAGGAACTGACACATCTAAAGAAATAATGATGGCAAACTTAAGAGAATCATTCGAAACAGAGAGGAGAGGTGAGAAAGATTTGCTCACTGTTGTTGATCTGGATAACCCAGAGGACGAAGATGATGCAGATCACAATGAGAGTGGTTTTGTATCACCAGCAGAGCTAACAAAAATTAATTTCCGGTCATTGATCGGCCACAAAGACGAGGTATGAGAGATGATTACCCTTCTTTAATTTAAGAAAGTAATTGATCTGTGATTACAACAATTGCAACAAGGTTCTTGTATATCAAATTAATAGACAACTGCTAATTATTATCAGCATTTTTAGAAAACTTGCAGGTATGAACCTGGTTCAAAGTAAAGCACAGGCAAAACTTGTCCCAAATCTTCTTCAAAAATAGAATAATGAGCATGAAAAGGTTTAAAAAGAAAAGAGCACAATTTGCATTAATTGATTTGAAATTTTAAGGAAGATGAAAGAATTGAACAAAGAACAAAGGAAAAAGTTGTGAATTTTTGCAGTCTATGTCACCACCATGTTCATAATAAAAAATTATTTTTTCAGTAAGAGGCTATTTAGGAAATTATGTATCACCTCAAGGAGACCTTAAACATATATTAATAGTAGTAACCTTCTGAATATCTGTTAATAGGTGAATACATGTGCATTTTCTTCTGACTGGTCCAAAATTGTAACAGGTGGGGATGATATGCTGGTCAAACTGTGGGATACAAAGACAGGCAAAGTTTTATTTACTTTGGACAGTCATGAAGGTAAAAAATGTTACCATGCAATGCTCTCTGTAGCGATGTGGAGCATGTGTGTATCTCTGATAAGAAATGCTTGATACACATAATGATAACCATACTGAACAATTTTCTCTCTCTCTCTCAGTCAATGTTAAAATAAGTGTATGTTAGAGAGACAAAAATTTTCATTGAGTAGATCCTTTTTTGAAATTGAAAAATTTGTCTCATCAGATTTTGTATAAAATAAGATTTAAAATACACAAGAGCTTTAGAAGTTCTCTGTATTCCTTGAAACCTTGAAAAATAGGAAGCAGGTTAATGAAATATCATAGAACAACACCAATTGATGATCAATATGGTCTTACTAATGGTTATGGGTATAAAACTCTATCTCAGAAGGGGTGTTGTACATAATGGTTAAGAGCAATTCAGTGTTATTGTTCTTAAATATGGGAATTTGTCCTCTATTAGAATTAGACTTTTTTTTCTAAAACCATTTGCTTTCAATTACAGGGCCAAGGAGTAATATTTATTTGTAAATCTTGTGTGTTGTTTGCAAAATCACCAAATCTTTTATTTTTATAAGTATGGGAATGATAATTTCTTGCAATTTTCTTATTGAAGATCTCTTTGGCTATAGGTGCAATAAAATGTGTGTGTTTTTCATCTGATGGAAAGTTGTTTGCCTCTGCTTCCTACGACCATACTGTTCAAGTTGTGAATTGTACCACAGGGAAACAGGTATTTAGCCTGGAAGGTAAGTTATCTAAACCGTTTCACTTTTGAGATCTAACTGTTCATTCTCTCGTTTAATGACCACACATTTTTTTAATGTTCTTAAATGATTGTGAAAAGAATTTGCATTTGGATCAATTGAGAAGGTTTTTATCAAGTTAATTTACAGGAATCACTGACTGAAAATATAATCTTGTAGAAATCACAGTGAATTTAAACAAATTGCTTTTTTTATAGGACACACCCACAGTGTTGAAACATGCTGTTTCTCACCTGACTCTAATTATTTGTGCTCTGGATCTTGGGACACATCAGCAATTGTTTGGAACTTGAAGGTTTCCATAATGATCATATTGCTATTGGTTTGAATTCCTCAATGCTCCGGTATATGTTGTGGTTCAAATAGTATCTTCTAAGTTGGTTTTAACTTGTTCAAACAAGTTTGATTTTTAATTTCCTTCACCTGTACTCGTGGTCTTTAACTGATAAGAAAGACAGTCAAAACCAGAACAGTTTGAAACATTTTGAACCTAGGAAAAATTTAAACTACAACATTTGCATGGGTCATCCTCCACTTATTTTTCACCTAATAGTTGCACCACATACAGATATAATCATATGAATCATCTTAGTAATTTGGATTATATTATTTATGAACCAACTGTTTTAGCCTAGCTCAGACTAATTTCTTAATAACTGTCCAATATAATAACCAATTTTCAGCTTGCTAACAAACAAAAGAGACTTCCATTGGTGGATCCTTACTGTAACTGTATCAGTCTGTGAATCTGTTATTTCCCTCAGACAGGTACAGCTGCATTTGTTTTGGATGGTCATCGCAATGTTGTGCAGGCCTGTACATTCTCTATTGATAGTTCCACAGTGGTAAATAAATTTTAAGAATCCGTTATCTGGTCATCTATGTAATTATGTGAAATAATTTGTTTCTTTTGATAGCTTTCCTGACAATTTTTCAATTACAACATATGAATAAAAAAAAATACTTTTAAAATGTGTATTTTTTTGTATCAAATGATATGTAGGCAACAGGTTCTTGGGATTGTACAGTTCGTTTGTGGTCACTTGGGAGTGGGAAAATGGATGTCAAGAGTCTGAAGGGACACAAGAGTAATATTCATGCAGTGGAATTTTCGTGTGACAAATTACTGGTTAGTGCACGACTATTTTGACATTTCTTGTTCTCCCTTTACTCCACCCCGAGTTTCACACTTTCCCCCTTTCAAATGCCACTTTTGGGCAAATTTGTATTCCTTTCATGTAAATGTACTTTCATGGAAAAGGCATCCTTGTAAAATGCCACACTCCTAAACCTTCTCCTGGTTAATTAGCTAGGGAAAATAGAAGAAGTGTTTTGCTTCAGGCCTACACAACCTTTCCTTCCTTTTTTTTTTTTTTGTATCAAACAGGATCTTTAGGAATATATCAGCTTTATTTTTCCAGAAATTCCACTCTTGGATACTCCTTTAGTAAATCTTTTATTCTGCATTCTTCTCTCAGGCCTCAGCATCCTGGGACAGTACTGTACGACTTTGGGACAGTCAGTCAGGGGACTTGGTACATGTACTGGAAGGACACACTGGTTGGGTCCAGGTGAACCATTTGCAAACCATAACCTCTGGGGCTGAGGCAGAGGCTCTTAGCTTTTTTAAAACTCCTTTTGTAAACTCCTAGGCATTTGACAGGAAAAACATGCAAATTTTTTACTTGTCTGAAGCTTTGAGTACCAGTGGTTGCAGAAATTTATCTTTGCAAGTTGAAATACCTGCTATCAAAAATCTCTTTAAGGGTCAACAAGCCATGCGCAACTTCTCACTCTTTTATTTCAGGCGTGTTCATTTTCGGAAGATGGTAAACTTTTGGCTTCCGCTTCCGATGACCAAACGGTAAATAAATTCTTCAATTTTTTTGCAAGAATTTGGAAATCCATAGTGGGGTTTTGGTATTATTTTACTAAGTTTTTCCTTAACTTATTTTGTTTGCTGTATATGATAAAAGATAATTTGTAATCCCCTCTTTTTCGCGAGATATTTTGTTTAAATTAACGTGGCTCTGGGTGTTAGAAGACTGGATAACGTCATCCAAGGAATAAATCGCTATTCCGCCAATGTGTTGGAAAAATTTTTACGCGAGAGCAGGTTTCATTTTAGTGTCGAGAACAATTTTTACCGCTTTCGAAAAATGATATCACAAGGAGCCAAAGAGAATTCAACATTAGCACAAACAACCTGCCAAAAGCGCTGGAAAACGCGAGTGACTCAACATTCCCCTTAAATTTTCGGCTCTCGTCTGGTTAGTAAAGGGTGCTCCGAGTTTTATAAACTAATCACAAACCGAAAAAAGTAATTTATACGGTATATGATAACATTATTCATTCCTTGAGAATCACTTTTTTCGATTCTCTTTTCACCTTAGGTTCGCGTTTGGGACGTAGAAACTGCCTTATGTTTAAAGGAACTTGAGGTAAGTGAAAAGTTCCTAGGGAATTTGGAGAAATATTCCTGGCCATTGGGTTCTGCATCGGTTCCGGATTTATATCAAGGAAATTGCCTTTTGTTCCATACCTTTTTATATTTATTCCAATATGATTACTCTCTTTTAATTCCACATAGAATGTTTCCGACCGTTATTAGCATTTCATAGCTGTGAAATGTCATCACCGAAACATCTTGTTTTGATTAGTATTACTCAGTTTAATTCTTAAAAGCTGCACGAAATCTACCATGGCTTGAATCGAACTATTTTATTACATGTACTTTTTTACTCCCTTTTGCTTTAGTGTGACACAGACGAGATTCATACATGCTGTTTCACTCCTAATGGTTCAGTATTCGCATCGGGCCCAGCAGAAGCTGAAACAACTATTTGTATTTATTAAGCATTGCGTACTGAAGAAAGTAGTAAGCCTATCATAACTGAGATAATTCACTGCAAAGTCGACAGATATAGAAAAATTGATTTTTTTCCCGGTTTCATTTGGCGGGTTTATAATCCTCTTCGGCCTTTCCCCCTTCCCCTTTTCAAAGTTTAGGAGCAACAAGGCAAGCCTTGACGTTAAAAGGCATAAGAGGATGGATTTGACTGGTTGACAGGTGCTATTTACCTGTACAACAGTCTTAATAATGTCTCTCTTGTTGGCCGCTTACTGTAGCTTACTGGGAAGTGACTGACTGTAAGATTTTTCTCTACCGAGGGGAAATTTTTTTTTCACATAATGATACGAAAATAGCTCGAATGACAATTTATCCATTGCTATTTGTGATTGATTGTGAAAAAATTGGTTTTAAAGTTGACAATACGTTCATGTTCATACTTTTCATTGTTACATTATTGCAGTACTTTAGTTTTTAGTTTTTCTCCAAGCATCATAAAGATTGTGAAAACAGACAAAGTAGTAATGTAGCATACACAAAAATAGCCTACAAACAGCAGAATTTTTATTCGATTGTGCAAAAGTGCATGCAGTGGTAAACGATTCAATATCTACAATTATAAAATATCAAGATAGGCCGTCGTTATAAAACACACTCTTACAAAGATATAAGATATTCCCGAAGAAATATACCAACACCATCAATAAATTAAGAAACAGGTGCTTGTCAAAAGCTTTTGTGTCACGACTCCCCTAGCGTACATGAGAATTCATAGCCTTTTCTAGGCCATAAATTTGACTAATGGAGAAAAGTGAAATAGCTGGCGAAAGAAACTTAGCGGTTGTCAGAAGAAACAGTGACGCCTGCTTATTCGTTTGTAGATAAGACTGGCACAGGCAATATGATTCTTGAGGTCTCAGGAACTGAAATGGAGATCATGAGATCCCTTCTTCGTACCTCAAGAGCGGTCCGGTGCGCAATAACGATTTCATTCGTTAGTATTTCCTGCAATGCTTTCCTGTTGTCATCATTGGAATTACAACAGTATCGCCTATTTCCATTAAACTGAAATGATAGGAGTGTCACCTTGTCAACCAAGTTTGGAAAAGCAAATTTTTCTCAAACTTTAATGTTCCATGTTCACCAAACCGAATGGTACTGGTTTAAGTCCCTTTGTTTTAAACTTGTCAACTGAACTTAGCCGAAATGTATCAACCCAGCCTTTGACTTCAATTTCGACATTTGTAATTTCATCCTTATTGGTTTGTTTTCAGCTTTTTTTTGTCTGGTTTTGCTTTTTTCTTCCTCTCTTTTTTGTCGGTCCACGGTTTGCTGTGAACTCAATGACTGTCCTATTTTACAACCTAGTAACATGGCTAGGTGCTTTAACCCTCTAACTGCCATGAGTGACTAAGACAGAATTTGTCCTTACAATATCAATACAATATCAACCAGATAAGTGATAAGAATAAAGAAAAACATCAATTTGGGGATAATTAGTTGATCCAATACTAAATTCTCTGAACTAACATTAAAATTGCATGGTTGGCAGTAAGGAGAATTGCAAATTTGGTCTGGAAGTTAAAGGGTTAAACAATTCTATCAAAAAAGTACGCTTAAAGACGCGTCAGCGATCATTACAGCTTTGCCTGAGAAAAGCAGGGTCATAGAGGAAATCTAATCACTGCATGGAAAAGAAAATCTGAAGCACTTGTTTAAGGCAGCGATTACTTTTCAACCTTAGACCCACCAGTAGACAACAAAGAGCATGATACTAGCTTTCAACTTTCTTTCGGTTTCCCCTAAAATTTTCTTATCTCACGGACGCGTTGCACTACTCAAGGTATTAGTCACCACAGGATCAAAAGAGAAAGCTAGAGAGGACGAGGGATAGGCACTACTGCTGGGTGTGCTAGTATCTGGGAAGACAAAATAGCGTTCATCAATTGGCGTGTTTATATTGGAGAGTCCACTCTCCGAGTCAGCGTAGTAGCTATGAGTGGGGCTTAGCTGAGTGCAGGCTGGAGGTTGATGCATCAGGGTGCGCAGCTCCTCCTCGCACAGCTCCAGAAGTTCGTGTACTGGTGGAAAGCTAGGTGAATGGAAAGCGAAAGAGAATCTTGCACCAGAAGTGACAGAAGGTGACACAGGGGCACTCGCCACTCTTCGCATGGCTAAGGAAGACATTGGGTCCATTATGGCTGACTGGTTGACGGCTTCTGTTTGCTGGGCAGCACTACAGGTAGAAAACGCTGACAAGAAATATGTATTTCGTTTTGATAGAATGTTCGTGAACAATCTTACAGTAAACTATAATCATTCCCTTTAGATTAGGCCATCAAACACGTCACCTGATGATGAGCATGTTATATTTCACCGCCAGCCTCAAACAAACCACTTTAGCTCGAAAACTATTTTTGGAGTCTTGAAAAAAAATTCTTATTTTCTGTAGATCATGTTGGGAGATGACGGAGTTGGTTCGGAAAATGATCAGCTCATCCTTTCTCGCCATGCAGTATAAAATTAATGCTTCTAAGAAACAAGCATCTAAAAGCTTCAGCCCTCGTGAATGCAACAAGAAACATAAAATCCGAAAGTAATGTGTCAACGTAACTAGGGTTATTTTCATCGAAACCCTGTGAGAGTTGATACATCTTGGATAATTTTTTACGCTTCTGGTTGGTCCGAAACAAGAGAGTAAAGTTGTGTTTCATTCGAGGGAAAGACTCTGAATACTTAACCAGACAGAGGCGACAAAAAAGCTATCGTTTGACCTCAATCAACCGTTCGACAAACTCTTTCAGAGAGGTTAACCCTCGTTTTCTACTTGCCTATGCAAAGAGGCCCAATTTACAAATCATACATCAGAGTGTATCTTACCAGAAACCTGGCCTTCCGGATAGGATGTAGCACCGATTGTGGAAGACAAATCCAGGGAAAGAGATCGCCTCTTGGCAATTTTATTGAAATGGTTTATCCAGGGGTTCTTATCTCTGTGGTTCTGTCTCCTCTCTTTCGCACGACGATTTTGGAACCATACTTGCACAACTCGCATATCAAGCCCAGTCACTTCGGAGATCCTGTGGCGCTCGGCCAAATCAGGGCGAGGGGTACTCAGGTAAACTGATTTCAGTACTTTCAGCTGTTGAGCTGTAATAAACGTGCGTACTCGCTTGCCCTTGATGGATGGCGATTCACAGGGTGATGATTGGTTGGAGTCTCCTGAAACTGCATTTAAGGCAATGACTACTGACATTTCATACAAACAAAACGCAGTTTTGTTTTATACTATAAATTTCAAGTATTAACAGCATCACTGAGTTTGTAGACTCGCATGCCATCCACTGAGACATTATTTATTTACAGAAGTTCCGTCAGGATTTATTGAAACATCTTCAAGTTAAATAGCTAATCTGAAACTTTAATATCCCTGTGCAGACGTAAAATTTTTTAAGCGTGAAATGATTTAAAGGGAGTAAATGTGACGTTAGGTACAAAGATTCTGGTGAAGTAATTAATACATCGAAGCTTTCAGGTGGCTCCTAATTACTTTCCCCTTATCTTTCTTTCTAGACATCATTACATTCTACTTAGCACTTCATAGAGTTATTTGAAGAATAATGAGATGTTTTGTTTGAATCTATCGTGGAGGTCCCCAAGTGCAATTTTATGCTATTTCTTTAAATCGCTTTTGACCAATACAAGGTCTAATTTCCGTAAGATTTTAAAATCAAACGGTAAAACCTTTAGGATGTCACTTCTTCATTCAATGAGAACAAAATAGCTTGAAATGATATCCTGGACGCTAACCCATTTATTTTTGGACTTAAAAGAGAAAAAATAAGAAATAGTAAAACTAAACAAAAATCAGAAAAATCAGGACGTATTTACGACCAATTTCCGCATAACAGTGTTACAAGAGAATTTCCTGTTCCTTTTCAACATTGTGATTTGGGTGATTGTGATGTTGAATGGCAACATGGGTGTATTGAAACATAACAGTAACCAGAAAAAAATTAAAATTTAGCTTATTCAATTGCTTTCTCATCTGATAAAGGTGTTTAAAAGTTCTTTTTAATCAAGTCAGTTATTCTTCGTAGTTATCTGAAACATTTTTTTCACTTGATTGGTTGGAATTACTTCAAAATCATTCTAAGTTCAGTTTTGAGCATATTTATAAGTATTGTATGCCACATTAGCCCACCTGAATATTTGCTTTCATCAAGGTCCTGTTTGCAGATTACCCTGCCGTCTTCTAGCATGTAGAACAGGTCACCAGTTGAAAGCTGTCTCTTACAGGAAACGCAAGAAAAGCAGGTGATGTGGTAAACTTTGTCCTTGACTTTTCGCACGCTCTGCTGAGGGGAGATGCCTTCGTGGCAAATCGAACAAGCTTTCCCGTACCGGCTGTAAACAATATCATGAAGAAGTAATTTTTAGTTTTAAATGGTCTATTTTATATGGTGAATTGAACTGAAGCCAACAACTGATCGAAATGCTTTCATCTGTAAAACTGAGAAATCGAAACTCTAGAAAGAGATATTTTCAAAAGGGTATGACTGCTCAGAAAGTAACTTAAACTCCAAATAGAAAAATTTAAAAATCACTGTCCAACAACTTCCCCTCCCTCCCCCAGACATACACTCAGTGGTGACTAGCTTTCTGTCAGATAGTTTTAAAAGTTGACGAAAAAGATTTACTTATTCTAGTTCAAAGTAAAGGCAGTGACGTTTGAGAAATCCAAAATGACCCTTATCTTGACGATGAAACTCCTCATTTTGAACTGCAACAAAATGAACATTCTCCCCTAAAAGAAGCTAGGTTAAAACCTGTAAACTTAAACTTTCGTGCTGAAACGTGTTTGCATAAGGGTGAGACAGCCTTCGCGCACGCGGAACGACATTGTACAACGAAAAAAGCATACATCTGCCTTTGCCAGGTGAAAAGATTGTTTTAACAATAAGGAACACTTCATGAATTGATGAAGTAACCCAAAAGTTTGTATTTTACGCTAATGAGGATAATTTGCACATCAAAATTAGAACTGCTGTTCTAATTCGGAATCCATAATTGATATGATTTTTAAATTATGATAGCGGCGAACGAAAAAACGATTGAAAATATTAATGGTCGCATGTGAAAAAGGAGCTACACATATGCACAAAAATTTTTTATATGGTACTAATGTCAATCAGACATACATGATACTCTAAGGCAATTATTGCTTACCGGAAAAAATCTATTTGGCAGAGAATGTCTCCATCACGGAAGAAACACGTTCCTTCATCGAGCGTTTCCCTACAGTCACAACAACGCAAGCAGTAGACATGCCACAGTTTGCCCAATGCTTGAAGAAGATATTTGTCTCGAATGTCCTCATTGCAACCACCACACTTTGAATAAAAACGATTTTCTGTACCTGTGAGGATAAAAATTAGAGAACGAGTGGGTTCGATTCAGTTTAGGTGTGCTGATCGCCTTCAAGTACATTTTAACCAGCCTGTCTATGTTAATTCTTCTTAATCGAATATCGTGTTTTCGCCAGCAGAAATAGAACTGCTTTGTAATCAGATCTAACTCATACATTATCTAAATGATTATAAAAACGAAAATGTAAATGACTTCTTCCCCTGTACCAAACAAAGCAAATCAAAATTACAGATTTGCGCTCGGTCAATTGCTTTGACATACTCCTACATAAAGTCACAAAAATTGATTACTTTGCTGGATATAAAGCAAGGTTTTTCAATAATTATGATATTGCAGAAGCTACGAGTATTGTGAATATGACATACAATTTGCGCTATCTGCTATCAAAAACGCATCCTTAATCCACATAATTGAAAGAATATTCTGCAAGAGATGCGATTGGCATTCAGATCACCAATCTGTTACTCCCACAGTGAGGAACAAACATTACAATTGGAGACTCTTTTAAAATAACCAAACAAGGTCACACAGGACGTTCACATTGAACGGCCAACGCCAAAAAATTATAATCCGAGTTATCATTACTTAAAGAGTGACTCTTTGCAGTTCATGCAAAAAAAGAAAAAAAAAAGATGAGTCCAAATCGATTGAACAGGTATTCTGTTCGACATGGGCTTTGTAGCGAACAAACATAACCTAGAGGCTCCATTCAGATCCTCGTGCGACTCAGATCTGGGACAGAAGGTCAGATCGAAGAAATATTTCATGTTATTTTGCGTACATCTGAGGAAGTGAAAAGTGAAAAGCAAATTGAACATCAACTCAATCATAGCGAGCAAAAACATTGAAATCAGAATTCACATTAAAAGAATATCCTGTGAGAAAATCCATACTACATACTTGCATTGTTCTCGGCCATCATCAGGCGTCTAATCTTTGCAAAACGCACAGTTGATGTTTGTGCGATCTTATTTATGTCTAAAGGGATTGTGTGCACGAGTACAGAATTTGAATAACAGAATAACTATTTCAACTTCACATCCTGATGACCACGTGACTACATACATTAACGAAAACAACTTCACTGTCTGTGCTGAAATAATGGCAAACTGCCTTAAAATAATAAGGTAGAAAGGATAAATAATGATTCAAGAGTGAGTGCCCAATCAGAAGATCAAAACTCCTTTTCGTTTTTCATTTTTCATTTTATGCATTTTGTTGTTCTGGAAAGCTGAGTCCGTCAGCGGCAAAAAATCCCTCAAACCCTGCCCATTTTAAAGGTTTCATGACCTATGTTTGTGACGTACATGAATGCTTATTACGTTGGAAAATGTTCCAGAATATCAACAGCACTGAAAAAAACAGATAAGCTGAAGAAAAACTGAAAATTTGCTCTTCATAAAAGTCTGGGCTCTTAAAGTGCCTATCTCACGGATTTTTTTTTTGTTGCATTTTCTGGTTGATAGCTGTGTTTAAAATTAGAAATAATCGACGTTAGCACCTAGCGAGTTCTCTTCGACCATTTTTTTGTGCATTGAAAGTACGATTTGACGGCCGAAAGGTGTCCTCTTTAAGCGCGCGGCCAAAACGATCATGTTACATGGCTGTGACGTAGAAAACTGTGAAGATTGTGGTGGAGAAAGGTGAAATCTAGCCGAAAGAAAGGACGAACGTATTGCCTGGCCGGAGCGCCTAATGATGTTAGCTACAAGAATAATACACATAAACTGGGTATTTCTATCCAAAGGATGTAGCTGTATAGCCAAAATGGACGAGTCTCGATCGTCGACATCGAGGAGATTTTACTCTTCAATGTCGTCGGCCTTATGCTCCGTACCGGCTTCAAAGACGCCTGTTACGAGCACCTACCAATAATCAAATCAGGGGAAGATAACCAAAGAATTCAGCTAAAAATAATGCTGATTAAGGGGCCTATTCCTACACCGAACACGATTGTTCAACATTCTTTTCGGCTGACATTTCGCAAGCGAAGAATGGTGAACTTCTCATTGTTGTTTAATTCACGTGGTTGAGATGTACTTATACTCACTTTCCACATGGCTACATCAGCGCTTTTCCTATTGTTTGAAAAACTACCAATTGTAGTTTCCATCGTATTTTAATAGCAGAAATGCATCATAGTAAAGAAGTTCAAGCCCTTTCCATAGCCTTCCTGATCGATATCCTGTTGCGTGAACAGTGCAAAGCCTCTGGGGGATACTGGCATAAACTCAAGCTCGAAGGGACCGTGTATTCCCCTTACCTAGGTTTCCGAAAATTCATTCCACGAGCCATCAATTCCCACCTGCTCTCAAGATACTTAAAGTAGCAACGGTAGCAATGTCATCGTGATAACAGCACTGAAAATATTTACAGTTTTCTACGTCATTACCCGCTAATTCGTTACCAGTCCACAGGACACTTTTAAGACAAAATAAGAGCATCTTAGGGCCCAAAGAAACCAAGTTTTAAGTTTTTTTAAATTTTTCTTCTATCAGAATCGGTTTGTACATATGATAAGCTAAATATTTACGCAAGAAGATTTCGTGTCATAGGCACTTTAAAGAGTTTTGTTTTGTGGAAATTTAATTTTTGCTCACGGACTTGGAAACTCTGCTCTATATTTTTGTTAAAAGAGTAATACATAAAGAACCGCAAGTGACAACCATTTTTATTCGGAATATCTCCCCGATTGAAAAATACATTTATGATAAAGATAACAACTGCGCTTGATGCAACCCTATTTCACCGTTAGTTTAAAAAAAAAACCTAGTGTACGTGAGGTCCAATAAACATGTAATGTTTATGTGTTTAACTAACGAATAAATCTTGAAAAACATCTTAATTTATAGTTATGCTCCCAAAGCTCCCCCTCCTTAGCAGGGGCGGATCTGAGGAAAATTATCGTTAAGAAAGATCTGGGAAATTTTTTTCATAAAGGGGGAGGAAGGGGTCCAAATTTTGATTATAAAAGGCAGATTTTATTTCTCTTTGTAGCTTTATTACGCTGAAAAAATGCATCAAGCAAAGCCAAATCTAGTATATTCCGAGCTGTGTTGTAAAAAGCGATCGCGTCGCTGGAAAAGAGTTTTGGTTTCAGACAAGAAGCAAAAGAAATAAAGAAAAAAATACAGGTCTGATGAGGGAAGGGGGGCTTTAGCAAACCCCTGACCCTCCCCTTGGATCTGCCGCTGCTTAAGTGAGGGGGAGGTTGTTTTTAGTCCAAAGAAACGAAAATGGCTACATAATCTCACAGGATTTTGTGATTATGAACCAAAATAATCCTTGTTTAATGCTTACCAGTACAAAAGGATAATTGAGTTCATCGGCAAAATCAAAAAACACGTCTTGAAAAAAATTGTCATGTTAAACGCATGGTATTCCTAACCTTTTAAGCATGTTCTTACTGACTTACTTAAGTACCAGAAGCAAGTTTCCCACAATCAAAAGGTATAGCAAAGAATGTGACCGTGTATGGCAGCAGACTGCTCGGCAAGTAAAACTGGTAGGAGCGAAGTGCACCAATCATAACAGTTGAAAACCCAACCAATCACGGCGGAGCCTTTAAAGCATTAGCTTGAAGCATTATGCTTCATTAGGTAAAGCGTAACGAGTCGACCTCATTACTTGATGAGGTCCAGGGGTTCAAGGAGTATGCAGGCAAGTCTTCGCGAGCTATGACAAAAGTGATGACATCGTAAGACAATTTCTTTTAACATTATACTCGATTTATTGTACTTCACCATGCTAAATAGCTGTAGTATTTTTCAGGAACAGGCACACAGCAGCGCGTGTTGCCCAGTTTCTGGCCCAAAATAGCTTACGCGTATTATTTCCTCCGGTCATTTTCAGTCATTTCCGTATGACAAAGTATTAAGAAAAGAAAATCCGAGACTTAAGCTATCGATCGGTAGTTTTGGTAGGCTTTTTAGTCACGAAAATGAAGAGAACCAAGGAGTTACATTGAAGTGAGTAAGGTTTCGCTGCTGATAACTAATTCACTCTACACCAGCTAAAACCATGTCATTTAAACAATTAGCTCATTTTGTGCGGAAATATTTCTAGGCGAAATATAAAATTAAAAATGAAAATGATTAGTGCTGAATCTGTTATCAATAGTTAGAATTTTACTGCTCTTTAATTTCAGATACAAAAACCAAAAACCTAAGATCTGATGTCACCTTGCAATGCCTAGTTTCCGTTAAATGAAAGATAAATTTCTTAAAGCTCTATTTTTGAAGATTTTAAAGAACTAAACTAGTTGCCTTGAAATAATCTTTTTTAACTAATTTGTTGTCGATTTCTGATCCAGTTATAATGAAAAACAATGCGCTAACACCTATTGACCTAAATGTCTCCTTTTAGGAGCCTCGCGCGGTTGTTATCACCCATTACCTCACGATTCGACTTTGCTTTGAACACTCGAAGTACCGTCGCTCAAAGAAGCGACTTTGTGTTTACTAAACTGAAGAGATGATTGCAAATGCCTCTATGGGCTGGCTTATCGCTTTTTCTTCGAAAGGCAAGAAAGAAAATTTCTTTCATGTCTTGATAGCCGCAAACTTGACTAGTTGTTTGGAAAGTGGACCTCAATTAAAACGTTCGCCAAAAGTAGTAAAGCACAAAGACGCAGCCGAGTTCCTACGGCAACCCAACTCAAGTGAAAATTTAGAAATTTTCCAAATTCCAGTGACTGCAACGTAAAATGTCTGGAAACTGGGCAACGCACTATTAGCTCCCCCCTTTCCACTGCATGTTGTGGTACACGCTCAGCGCGACACGTCACGGAATTCTACGATATTTGCTATAATTGGATAACCAGATAATCACTTAGCAGTGAGACAATGTCAAAAGTTTAGAAATCTATTTCATAAGTATCAAATGTCCTCCTGCAAGCAGTTTTCTGCAGTGATAATATTGCTTGCTCAAAGTCTGCCACATTCAACAGTCCACAAGGGGCAATAAGCAATGTATATCGTGGACTTCTTGGAGTGCGGTAGGTAGTGTG